CTTTCAGAGGTGGGGCTGCAATCAGATATATACATGACAGAGATTATCTCCCATGCTATTGACTGTGATTTCACTCTTAACTGTTTACTTTTCTGCATATAACCTTTCTAATTTCACAAGGTTGTTATGAAAATGTGACCATTGTTGGCTATGTTTCTTGAGTGATTAGAGTCCTATTCAGAAAGTCCTCACCTATACTTGATGCCTTGAAGTGTTTTTTTAAATATTTTATATGTTATTTTAAATTTATGGGTATCAGACCAGGCTGGGAGGAGGAAAGTGTATGAGTATGTAAGTGCACCTGTGTCCTGCAATTCCTGAGGAGGTCAGAAGAGGGTGTTGAATTTCCCTGGAACTGGAGTTACAGACTGTGTTGTTAGCTGCCATTGAGTGCCAGGAATCGAACTCAGGTCATCTGTAAAAGCAGCCAGTGCTCTTAACCACCGAGCCATCTCTCCAATCCCCTTGAAGTGTTTTGTATAGTTTTTCTATATCAGTTTGAAATTTTCAGGCCTTATATTAGGATCTTTGATCCATGTGGAGTTGATTTTCATTAAGAGAGTTAATTTAAGATGTTCTATATGAAATACACAAAAGTTCAATGAAAATTTTGCAAAAAAAAAAAAAAGAGTGAGAGATAAGTATTTAGTTTCATTCTTCTCCATACGGATATCCAGTTTTCCCAGCTAAAGAGGCTGTCTTTTCTCCAATGGGATTTTTGGCATCTTTGTAGAAAGTCAGGTGGTGCTAGCTGCATTGGTTTATATCTGGATCTTCTATTGATCTACATGTCTGTTTTATGCCAATATCATATTGATTTTGTTACTACAGCTTTGTAATATGACTCAAAAATCAGAATAAAAACTCTCAAGCTAAAACAGTTTTCATCTTAAAGGGAATAAGAAATAGTTTATTCTGAACCAGATATGACTGACAATGGCCCAGGGGCAGGAATTTAGGTTGCCGCAAATATGCATCCCTGCATGGAGGTGATTATATGAACATTTATAGTCACATAATAAGAAAAGTCGTAAGTCAAGGCATTTTCCAAACACATTGATGGGAGAAACAGCAACCCAGTTATAGCAAAGCAGAAGAAATCCTGATACAGGTTTCTGATACTATTTGATGGCATTCTTTACTTTGGGGCGTTAGAAGCCAGTGGTCTCTTAATATATTGCAAAGGTTTTACTTGATACTTGAAGCACATTAAGCAGACAGAGGTAGGTGAGCGATAAATGCTATTAAAGATGACGAAAAGTAGCCCAAGAATATTTGGCTTTGGATCCACATTTCAATTGTTCACAATCAAGAAGGTTTAATTACTTAGTCAGTTTCTTAGAACCTTTTACATAGATGTGTATTTTTCTGTGATATTTAGTTTACAATATAGCTAAATGCAATATAGCCATACATAGTACATATGATATCTGTAGTATAACTGTACATATCGTAACATTGAAATATAAATAAGAAACAGATGGGGCTGGAGAGATGGCTCAGCAGTTAACGGCATGTACTGTTCTTACAGAGGACCCAAATTCAATGTCAGCACTCACATTGGGCAGCTCACAACTGCCTATAACTCCAGCTGCAAGGGGATCTGCCTGCCTCTGGCCTCCATGGGCATCTGCCCTCACATGCCCACACATACACATAACTAAAAATAAAAACAAATCTTTTAAAACTTATTTTTTATTTTTTCATTATGTGTAGGGGTATCTGCACATGAGTGCAGGTGCCCATGGAAGCCAGAGTGGCACATTCCCCTGGAGCTGGAGTTATAGGTGGTTGTTAGCCACCTGACATGGTTTCTGGGAATTGAACTTATTCCTCTGTAAGAGCAATAAGTGTTCTTAACCACTGAACCATCTATCCACCCCCAAAATAAAAATATATCTTTCTTTAAAAATTGATGCTTGCATTCTGGAAAGAAAAGGGATTTGTGTCATATTTTTCCAATTTCTTTTTAATTAATTAATTAATTAACTAATTTTATGTGCGTAAGTGTATTACGTGCACTGAATGTACGTAAGTGCACGTATGTCATGCAATGCCTATGGAGGACAGAAGAGGGCATTGGATCCCCCGGAACTGAAGTTACAGATGGTTGTTAGCCACCATGTAGGTGCTGGGATTCGAACCCAGGTCTTCTGCAAGAGCAGCCAGTGGTCTTAACTACTGAGCCATCTCTACAGCCTTCTTTTTTATTTTTTTAATTGTTTGGCAGTTTCAGATGTTTATACAATAATTTTTAGTCATTTTCACACATGATTCTCCTGTCGTTATCCTCTTTCTCCCCCTGGAATCCTTCTGAACAAGTTCCTCTCTTACTTTCAAGGCTGCCTTTTGTGTGTACCCACTGAGTTTAATTAACCCCTTGCTAGAGCATTGATAGGAGGTTATCTACTGGAGCAAAGGAAAGATATCAGTGGACATCTGTCAAGCTGCCTTCTAAACAGTTGTGTTTGTACCCACAGGTTAGTGCTGCTTCAGAGTTTTATTGTTTACTGTTTGCCTTTTTAACACATATATGCATTCCTTCTCAACCAATAAAGTGTTTTTAAATTTTTTCATGTGTTTCAAGCTTTAGAGCTGCCATAATATACTAAAATAACTAGAGTCTGTTTTATTAAATTACTGCCAATGATCTTAAGCAAATCACGAAGAATAGAAATGTCCTGATAGTTAAAAATAAACTAAAGGGGCAAGGGTGGAAATGGACCCAAGCTGAGGCTGCTGCACTAATGCAGATGAGAGAGCTGGACACCTGAGGAATGGTGAAGGCACTGGAGACGCTGAGGCATGATCAGCATCAGGAAACATAGACTGCAGATGCAGGTGCAGAAACAAGTGAATAAAATCACAAAGGGATTGCCTTTTATTGACCACTGAATTTCTACATACACACGTTTATAATTTAGACATCAAAGTGGATAATATTAACTATACATAGCCCATTAATATTTACATAAAGTTAATTCAACAGGTCTTGTACTATGTGATTTAGTGAATATTGGCAGCACAACATACAGTTACTTAGCCCAACTTCATATGAAAGTACCAGCTTTAATGTTTTTTTTCACACACACACACACACACACACACACACACACACACACACCCTACCACCAAACGTACCTAAGTACCAGTACTCTAAATTTAACCCCCAAAATTATTAGTGAACTCACAAAGCAACTGTTGCTTTTTAAAACTGTGATTTAGAAGTTGAAACTTTTTGCCTGAAGTTTTTCATTTTAGATGCAAATGGTAGCAAATCAAAAGTCTTTTTTTTTTCTGTCTTTTTGAGGAAGGGTCTCCCTGTAGCCCCAGCTGGCCCGAACTCCCTATGTAGACCAAGCTGGCCTTGAACTCACAGAGATCCACCTGTCTCTGCCTCCAGAGTGCTGAGATTAAAGGAGTGTGCCACCACTCCTGGCAGCAAATTAAAATTCTTAAAAAAGACCAAGCCAATATGTTTTGTTGAATTGTTGAAGTCAGCCGTAACTGAACCATTAATATCACTGTGATGGTTTGAATGAGAATGACCCCATAGGCTCCAAGTATTTGGACATTTTGTCCCCAGTTGGTGGTGCTGTTTTGGGAGGTCTTAGAGGCTGTGGCTATGCTGGAGGGAACACTTAAGCCTTGCCAGATCTTGAGTAAGCTCTCTTGCCTCCTATGTCTGCTTGAAGATGTGAGTGCTCTGCTTTCTGCTCCTGTTCCAGCTACCTCCTGCCACCATGCCTCCCTGCCATGATGGACTGTAATTCCCCTGGAACCATAAGCTCTTCCTTCTATAAGTTGCTTTGGTCAGTGTTTCTATCACAGCAACAGAAAAGTAACTAATACAATCACAAACATCATAATTATGGTTTGCTGGTACAGTGACTCCCTTGCAAGGATTATAGCTCTAAAATATTACAATAATTTATATAAATGAGTTTAAATGTCATTTTTATTCAAAATAAAAGCATCAATACAGTGCAACTTCAAATGATTGAGATATTTGAGCTGTTAGCCATTTAAAAAGCCAAGTATCTGCATTAACTTTCCTGTAAGTAAAAGGAGATACGGTTCATCTCCAGGAAAAGGCAAATCTGGGTCATAGTTCTGATTGCCAAAGCAGCACGAAGGTGAGCTGTTTAGCTTCCCTGGGACTTTGTTCTCTCAGCTGTAGGAGTAAAGGCATTTAAAGTGCCCATTAAAATGAAGTTAGGTCAGCATGAGACTCCCAGCTTTGACAAGATGCCTAGAATGAGGAAGAAGTAAAATTGGTGATTTTTTTATTTATTTATTTTTATGTGTATGAGTGTTTTCCTGGATGTATGTGCACCTGTGCATGCAATGTCCATGGGGGCCAGAAGAAGGTGATGGATCCACTGGAATTGGAGTTATGGACAGTCATTAGTTGCCGTGAGAGTCCGGGGAACTGAACCTGGTTCTCAACAAGAACAGCCAGTGCTCTTAACTGCTGGGCCATCCCCAGCCAGTAAGCAAATATATTATCAGGTATACATACTTTTTTTCTACCTGTGCAACACATCACTGAGACCTATTCTATACTGCTGTTCTGGGAATTTTTAACACATGAAATGTTACTATAATAACTTTTTTAAAAATATGAAAATGAAACATCTATCAATAAAAATTATGTTAAATTTTTAGGATGAGATTTAGGTCAAAAGACAAAAATTATCACCTATCCTAACTTTGAATTTTAAGAATTAAGAATTTGAGCAAGAGAAAAATGACTTTAAAAAACTGTGTTATTCAAGCCTTTCCATTAACTACATAATTAATAACATCCAATTGAAAGGTAAATATCTTAAAATACTATCAGGAAGCAAAGAAAATAAAAACTGGTTCTCATAGAACGCTGATTATCCTTTCCACCAAAACACCACACAAAACCTCATTATCTTACACACACACACACACACACAATGTATGTTGACTGAGGTTTGAACAAAAAATAATGAAGAGCATCCTCGTGACTGAAAACATTCTCCATTTCAATGATGCCTACTCATTAGCCCCTAGTCTGACAGGCTCTTTACTATCTCCCTCATGGGGATCACTTCCTAGGTTTCCAGCTGAATGTTACTCCAGGTGACTTACAAATCCTGCTTGCCTCAAAGTGACAAGGAAAGTCATTCCAGGCCCATTTATCTTGGTTGTTAACAAGGATAACACAGTCTTCTTCCAGAAAGTTGTTGGGTTCATCATCATGCCAGAAACTGAAAGAAAAGTAACATAGAGAGATGTAGCTGATATTGATGGTATTGATGGGTATAGAGATAGAAATACAGGGAAAATTCAGAGAAAGAGAGTGAAACAAAGTAAAGTCAGGGCACATAATAAAGCTGCAATGTGCAGTGTAAATGCTCAGTGTGGCTACTGAGCATTTGAAATGGCTTCATCCACACTGAGACATCCTTATGTTACAAGTGCACACTGTATTTTGAAGACTTAATGGGAAAAATATAAGTAATATCTTGGCAATAATATTATATTGATCACATGTTGAAATGATATGTGTGTACTGTGTTAAATACATTATTAACGATCTATAATTAATATATTATTACAAAAAAATTCTACCTGTTTCCTTTTACTTTCTTTTGTTCTTTGGGGATTTTGTTTGTTTGTATGTTTTGCTTTGTTTTGTTCTGTTCTGTTTTTCTTTTTGAAATGGGGTCTTGTGCTTTATAGCTAAGGCTGTAGGACACTCTATGTAGCCCAGGGTAGCTTCAAACTAGCAGTTATTTAGCCCCACCTCATGAATGCAAGGATTACAGGTGTGTACTACCACGCCTGACTTCTTTTTACTTTCTTAATGTGATTGCTAGAAAAATGTTAAATTATACAGGTGACTTTGTGTTATTATTTGTATCATACTATATTGGTTCCAAGGAAGAAAATTATCAGGCCATAATTGTTTCAAAAATAGTATTTATCTCTTACTATGTTAATTGCATAAATGCCAAGTTTAAGAAAAAATTTTCGTATCACTCCCGTGTTATCTATTCTTTCCTCAACATTGTACAAACAAGAATACTGAAAGTTTTGCTGAAGTCATGGGATTATTCTGCAATGAGAACAAAACATACAGAGATTACTCAACAGCTGGTGCTCTGTGGAGGAAATACTCTTGTGCTGGTGTAGTCTACTCTAAAATGAACTCTACTTCCCACATCTTCTCACTTTTGCCATGAGTACCCTTAGACACAGCAATATACTCACGTCATGTGTGGGTTAAATGGCATCTGGTCCACCCAGTACCACTGACCTTCCATCTTCTTATCTGTAAGTCCCAGGAAATATGAAAATCGTCTATCCAAAAATTGAGTCACAAAGTTCTGCACACAAAATATACATTTTTGTAAATATGCTTGTGCTTGGGTGATGGATGTTAAGTTGATAAAGAGGAAAGACATCAAATAGATCTCTGGTTAAGAACAAATGCCATGGCATCAGGTAGGTCTGTTTTCAAAACCTGGTTAGAATAGCAGTAGAGTTGCAAACCCCTTAGGATATGGTGAATAGGACTGAATGGTTTTTAGGGTCTTTTTAAAAGTCACCTTTAATTGTATAGGTATTTTATTAAATTTCCTTTTATTTGAAGAGTCACCAAACTTATAGATGACAAAGTGATGAGGACAAAACCCTCAAGGAAGTTCTGTTGACCAAAGAAAAAGCAGGCTGAGCTGTGACACACATGGGAAAATGGATCACAGGAAGAGATAGATTTCAGCTCTTAAAAAAAAAAAAATTGGGAGGGCTAGGTTTCTCTTCCCTTTAGTAGGGGTGAGACCTACGCATACTGCCTCAGAGTGCCTGAATCCAGCCTCCAAGTCGTGGTAAGCTTCCCAAATCACACCATGCCCACCCCCCTACATTGGGACCATCTGCAGCCCCTTCCACTGGTGCAAAGCTAGGCACCTCTACCCTTTAGTCAGGGCCCAGACATTTGAAGACTGCCTGAAAGCACCTGAATCCAGCCTCCACCTAATGATCTTCCCAAACTGTGCTGTGCCTGCTGGCTAGTAGGGACCCAGACCTTAGGAGGAAACCTGAAAGTATCAGATTGGTGCCTGACTTGGGCATCTGTGGGAACTCCTGAGAAGTTGGACTACAGTCATCAGTCCTTGCAATATAAAAATCAAAAGGAAGAACATGAAGCCTAGACCAGCCAGCTTTTCATACATAATAAGAAAATAACAAAGTAACATCAGTAATACAAACAGAATTAGACTTCAGCTCAAGTAACAAAGTCTTGAATTTCATACCAGAATCACAAACAACAAAAGAAACCCACATGCCAAAATGACAGTGAAAAAGTAATAATATGAAAAACCCAAATAATATGTCACCACTAAACACCAACCAGTCTTATAGAATTCTACAATGAGAACCCCCTAGAAATAACCCAGGACACAGAATTTAAAGGAACAATCAGAAACGTGATCAAAGAATTCAGTGATTTTAAAGAATACACAAATCAAAGAACTAAAAGAAGATAGGGATAAACTTCTGACTGAATTCACAAAAGAGATACAAACATTGAAGAAAACTCAAGTTCAAATGAAAAAGGAAGTAAAAAAACAAAAAACAAAAAAACAAAAAACCAATAAGCCAATTTGAAATGGCAGGAAAAAGTCTCACCACACAAATGAATGAAATGGAAAACAGAATCCTCCAAGACTGGAGGACAAAACTGAAGAATTGGACTACTCAAGCAAAGATTATGAAAAATTTAATTTTCAGGAATGGAATATGCAGGAAATATGGAACACCATAAAAAGATCAAATCTCCACATCATATGCATAGAGGAAGGAGAACTTCAGGTTAATAATGGTATTGACCAGATCTTCAACAGGATTGTAGAAGAAAATTTCCCAAAACTGAGGAAAGACATACCTTACAAATACAAGAAGCACATAGAACACCAAATAGACAGGCTGAGAAAAGAAACTCCCCACAGCATATCACAATAAAAACACTAAATGTACAGAACAAAGAGAGAATACTGAAAGCAGCAAAAGAAAAACAAGTTACATACAGGGGAGAGCCCATCAGAATTACAGATGACTTACCAATGCAAACTATGAAAGCCAGAAGAGCCTGGACCAAGGTGTTTCCAGTTCTACATGACAATAGATGCCAGCCTAGAATACTATACCTAGCAAAAATGTCTATTATAGTTCAGGGGGAAAGAAAAATATTCCATGACACAAATAGCCTGAAAGAATACATGTACACAAAACTAACACATCAGAGAATACTTGAAGCAATAAAAAGATGTGAAGAAAGGAGAACTATTCAATAACTCTCAATACCAATGGACTCTAAATACCAATGAAACTCCCCAGTCAAAAGACACACTCTAGTTGAATGTATTAAGAAACAAAATTCATCTTTTTGTTGTCTGCAAGAAACCCATCTCACTTTCAAAGACAGGAACTACCTTAAGGTGAAAGGATGGAAAAGAATGTTCCAAGCAAATGTCACTAAGAAAAAAGCAGGGGTTACAATTCTAATATCTGACAAAATAGACTTCAAAGTAAAACTAATCAGAAGAGATAAAGAGGGTAACTTCATTCTGATCAAAGGACCAATAAACCAAGAAGATATTAAAGTCATGAACATATATGCACCAAACTCTGGTATGCCCAATTCCATGAAAACAATGCTATAGGACTTCAAGACACAGATTAACCCCAACTCAGTAATAGTAGTGGACTTTAATACCCAACTGTCTCCATTAGACAAGTCACCCAGACAAAGAATAAACAGAGACATCTGAATTAAATGATACCATACATCAAATGGGCCTAACAGATATCTACTGAATGTTCCACCCAAGCACCAAAGTACTTTCTATTCAGCACCCCATGGAACTTTCTTAAAAATTGACCACTATAATAATCAGATATATAGAGATTAGAGACACATTGCAAATATCTAAGTGTTAGCAGCATTAAAAATGAGTCTTTCTGTAGCAAACAGCATATTTTAAAATGAAATTGAGATCTTTTTTAAAGATTAAAAACTCATTCAATTTTATGTCTTACAGGGTTTATACCGAGCTCAATATTGTGTAACTGTATTAATTTAACTGTGATCCTAAAAATTCATAGCCACTTTTAAAAGAGATGTATCCTTGCTCTGGGAATTGTTATTGATTATGTTAAAGCTGTAATGAAATGCTTCTTCTAATTGTGTGATTATTAAATTTTAAAAAAGGAAAAGGAAAAGAAAAAGAAAAAAATTGACCACATACTGGGGCACAAAACAAACCTCAACAAAACAAAAAATTGAAATAATCCCATGTATTATATCAGACCACAATGCAACAAAGCTTAAAGTCAATACCAGAAAAAGCCCTGGCAACTACATAAACTCATGGAGATTAAACAACACACTCCTGAATGATGAATTGGTCAAAGAAGAAATTTTAAAAAATAAAAGTATTCTTGGAATTAAAAGAAAATGACAATATAACAAAACAAAACCCCTGGGACACCTTAAAAGCAGCCCTAAGAGGGAAATTTATAATTCTGAGTGCCTGCATTAAAACATCAGAAAGAGCACAAATAAATGACTTAACATTGCAACTCAAGACTCTGGAAAGGCAACAGCAAATGAAACCCAAACCCAGCAGACAAGAAGATATAATACAAATCAGAACATAAATTAATGAACTAGAAACAAAGAAAACAATACAAAGAATCAATGAATCTAAGAGCTGATTCTTTGAAACGATAAAAAAAGGTAGACAGAACCTTAGCCAAGTCAACCAAAAGAAAGAAAGAACAACTTCAAATCAATAAAATCAGAAATGAAAGGAAAAACATCATGATAGACAAAAATAACCATGACATTAAAAGGGAAAAGTCTATTATAGTTGATAGAGGAAGAAAAATATATCTTTAAAAACATATACTCTATTAGAAAACCTAAGAGAAATGGATGAATTTCTTCACCAAAAGCTGAACCAGGAAGAGGTGAACAGCTTAAACCAACCCATACATGTAAGGAAATTGAAACAGTAAAACAAAACCTCCCAACTAAAAGAAGCCCAGGCCCAAATGGGTTTGCAGCAGAATTCTATCACACATTTAAGTTTCTACAACCAATGCTACTTAGATTATTGCAAAAGATGGAAACAGAGGTAGAACTCCCAAATTCCTTCTATGAAGCCAGCATCACTCTAATGTCAAAATGAAGTAAAGATGCAATAAAAAAGGAAAACTATAGACTCATATCCTTAATGAACATAGATGCAAAATTTCTCAACAAAATATTTGCAAATTGCATTACACACACATCCAAAAGATCATCCATCGTGATCAACTCAGTTTTATTCCAGAGATGCAGGTATTATTCAATATATATAAGTCAATCAATGTCATAAACCATATAAATGGACTCAAAGACAAAATCAATCTCAATTGATGCAGAAAAGGCCTTTGACAAAATTCAGCATGCATTTATGTTGAAAGTCCTAGAGGGAATTGGACTGGAGGGAACATACCTCAACATAATTAAAGCTATATCTATATACAACAAATCCACAGCCAACATCATTCTAAATGGAGAAAAACTGAAAGCATTCCCATTAAAATCAGGAACAAGACAAGGCTGTCGACTATCCCCATCTCTTTAACATAGTACTTGAAACTTGCAAGAGCAATAAGACAAGAGAAGGAAATTAAAGGAGTACTAATTGGAAAAGCAGAGGTCAAATTATCCCCTTTTGCAGATGATATGATATTATATCTAAGCGATCCCAAAAATTCCACCACAAAACTCCTAGAAGTGATTAACACCTTCAGTAAAGTGGCAGGTTACAAAATTAATCTACAAAAATCAGTAACCTTTCTGTATACCAACAACAAGCAAGCAATCGAAGAGAGAGCATATAGAAACCTTCCTATTCACAATAGCCTCAAAAACAAAATATCTTGGAATAAACCTGGCCAAAGCCATTAAAGATCTCTACAATGAAAACTTTAAATCATTAGAGAAAGAGATAAATGAAGACACCAGAAGGTGGACGTACCTCCCATGCTGATGGGCTGGAAGAATTAATAATGTAAAAATGACTATCCTACCAAAAGCCATTTATAGATTCAATGCAATGTCAATCAAAATCCCCATGACATTCTTTAAAGGGGTAGAAAAAAATTCTAAAATTCATATGGAAGCACAAAAGACCCTGGATAGCCAAAGCTACCCTGAGCACAAAAAGCAATATTGGGGGAATTACTATACCAGATCTCAAACTATATTACAGACCTATAGTTGTAAAAAAAAAAAGAAAGAAATGGTACTGGCACAAAAATAGACACATAGATCAATGGAACATCAATGAAGACCCAAACATGAGTACATGCAATTTCAGCCACCTGATATTTGAGAACGGTGCCAAGAACACACACTGGAGGAAAGACAGCATCTTCAACAAATGGTGCTGGCAAAACTGGATCTCCACCCATAGACCTTTATCCTTCACCATGAGCAAAAGTCAACTCCAAATGGATCAAAGACCTCAACATGAAACTTGAAACTCTGAAACTGTTAGAAGAAAACAATGGTAGTAACCTACAAGATATAGGTGTAGGAAAGGACTTTATAAACAAGACATCAATTGCTCAGATATTAAGGTCAACAATCAACAAGTGGGGCCTCATTAAACTAAAAAGCTTCTGTACATCAAAAGGAATAACCAAGGAAGTGAAGAGAAAACCCACAGAGTGGGAGAAAATCTTCACCAGCGACATGTCTGACAGAGGTTTAACATCGGAATATATGAAGAATTCAGGAAAAAAAGAATCAAAACAACAAATGACCCATTTAAAGGATGGGTTAAAGATTTGAACAGAAAGTTCTTAAAAGAAGAAATAAAGATGGCTAAGAAACATCTTGAAAAGTGTTCAACATTGTTAGCAATTATGGAAATGTAAATTAAACCACTTTAAGATTTCATCTTACCCCAGTCAGACTACCTAATATCAAGAGAACAAATGATACCAAATGCTAGAAAAGATTTGGGGAAAGGTGAATACTCGTTCACTGCTGATGGGATTGCAAACTCCTGCAATCCCTATGGAAAATAGTGTGGAGAACTCTTTAAAAACTAAAAATGAATCTACTATTTGACCCAGTTATACCACTCATTGGCTTACACCCGAAGGACTCATCCTATTGCAGAGATACTTGTACCTCCATGTTTGTTGTCGCTCTTTCCATAATAGCTAACAGATGGCGGTACATTTGCACAATGAAGTTCTACTCAGCAGTAACGAAAAACAAAATCATGAAATGTGCAGGTAAATGGATGGAACTGGAAACTTTTACACTAAGTGAAGTAATACAGACTCAAAAAAACAAAAGGCAAATGTTCCCTCATTTGTGGATCCTAGCACCAAATCCTTATATGTGAGTATACATCCTTATGTAACTGCAGAGTCAAGAAAATGGAAAAGAACCAGGGAAGTAAAGGGAAAAAAGGAACCTGAGAGAGAACAGTAGGAGACAGGTGCTACTAAGGGAGAAATGGGTAAAATGGGGGAATTTAAATGGGAAGGAGGGGGGTTGTACAAGGAACTATAGGTATAAAGGGGAAGAAGGAGCTCAAGAGAGGTGAGGCTGTAGGAGGCTGGCATTATCAAGGGAAAAATGAGGAAAATGGGGATACTTTAAAGGTGGAGGATGTAAAGGGAGGGTTTAACAGGAAGAGAGAGAGAGAAAGAGAGAGAGGAGAGAGAGATAAATAGTGCCTAGCTAGTATAAAAACCAGAGGGAATCATATTAGCCAAAAAACTTACTGACAAATTACACATACAATATCCCTACATGAGTCCATGTATATAGCTGAAGGTTACATAACAAGAAACAGTGCCAGACAGGAGAAACCTTCCTTTGAGTTGTTGGCCAGGGTAGTCCAGGAGACTGTTAAAATTACACAGAGTATTGCCACAGCCCTTGATTGCCTCCTAGAACTTGAAGGGAAGGTCCTATTTCTGAAGACAGGACATACTTCAGACACAGGATTGGGAGCAGTGGAGCTGGAACTGACCTGGAAGCCACCTCCCCTGAAGGCTAGCTCTCATAGCTTTCAGAGCACTACACAGGTTGGTAAGGGAGAACATCAATCAATGGTCCAACCCTAGTTCAAGGCCTAAAACGCACATCAAGGACCAATGCTACAAATGACATTGGTACAGTAGTGGCATTTTTATCTTGGGGGTAATCAACAGCTACCTAATTGGAGTTAAAACTCACTCAGTAGGAGGAAACTCATGTGTGGCACTGTAAACATAGCCAAATACACATGGCTGGAGTTTTTTTTAAAGAAATCTCCAAAGCTTTCATATCCCTGGACAAATTAATTTCTTACTATGTGCAAACTATGGATCTTTATATTTAGAGACAAGTACCCCAGTCACCACTCATCAAAGAAGCTTCTTTTGCAACAGACGGAGATTATCAAAGAGTATCAGAATTGATAGCATACAGACATTGTCTGAATTGCCCAAGTGTAAGTGTCACATCTACAATGCAACCTCTACACCTAAGACTCATAGAACATAGAACAAGGGGTAAAGAGAACACTAATATATCTCTCAGTTCTCATTAATGAAGCTCCCTCATGCAATGGGGACCAGGAACATAAAAGGTTACAAATGGCCAAAGTGTGGAGAGTAAGAGTCTTCAGAGTATGGGTCCTTTGACAGGGCACTTATATTAAACTTCACCCACCCAGGGCTCAGGGACCATTGCAGAAGAAGGGTCAGAAAGACTGTAAGAGCCAAGGAGGAGGTGTATGACCATATGGAAATAGAGTCTTACAAGCTCCTGGGACCTTGCTGATATGAACCTACAGCAATAGTGTCAGCATGCACAAGAGCTATGCAAACTCAGGCAGACAAAACTCCACCACAGAACTGTGGAAATGGGCAACAAGCCCCAATCTTAGTTGAAGAATTATTGGCAGCTGATTATTGCTGGGTGATGAAGAGCTGATCTTCATAATAGGGGGACTCTAGATAGGCTGCCTAGATCCCAGTGGACAAACTTGCACTGAAGGATGTCTGGTGACACTAATTTGACACAATAGACCTTAACACAAATGACAGAATGCATGAATTTCAGTGTGGTCGGGGGCTATGGGAGGGTGCCATTGGGGAAGGGGGTATAAAGATGAATAAGTTTGATTATGATGTTCTGTATGAAATACCAAAAATTCAATAAAAAATTACCAAAAAAAACACCCCACTAAATTGGCTAGCTTTCATAGTGTTAGGTGATATGCATGCTACTGAAAGGGAAAATTGCTAACCTTAGCCAGCTGTAAATCCTGTAAGTGTTGCTTTGGCAACAACTTGCCTGGCAAGATACAACTTCTGGTGCAATAGTGGCACAAATATGGTAGTAACCAACCATTTTCTACTTGGATTTAAGGTCTGCTTCATAAGATGGAGCCCTCACTTGACATTGATATCAGGCCAAGGAATATATGGCTAGACAGGCCATAGGACATAGAGGAGAGCCTGATGCTATTATTCTGCTGAAATAAATTCTCTCCCTCCCTAAATTGCTTTTGGTTATGGTGTTTGTAATAGCAACAGAGTGAAACTAGAACACCTGTATTAGCGGAGCTAACATATACCTGTTCCGCTTCTGTGGTGATGGTCGCCAGATGAGCCCCCATGCTGGAACAGTTCCTCTCACTTTCATCCCAGGTCTGGTTGTTATTAAGGGGAAAATAGCAGTTAGACTGGAAGGCTTTCCAGCTGACAGGACAGCAGTTCCAGCCACCTAAGCCAGGTGAAAATTGAAAGGGGCATTAGTTACAAAGTAGGATGTCATCTGTGACAGATTGTACAATTATTTCACTACTTAAAATCCAATTCACATTTATGAAAATAATGCCAAAATTGCAAAAATCATTGACTTCTACCCTCAAAAAAATTTAAAAATCATATTTACAAATTTATAAACAGGAGTATTTAAAATTATACATTTACTATGAGAATATTGCAAAGTATTATCTCAGAAGACAATGTCATTATTCAATGACTGTACATGTATTACTTTCATATTTTAAATGTTTCCAGAGCGATCAGTATAGCTCAGTGGTGAAGCACTTGCCTAGAGTGTACAAAGCCCTGGGTTTCACATTTAGCAAAGAAAGAAAAAGAAGAAAGGAAGGAAGGAAGGAAGGGAGAGAGAGAAAGAGAGAGAGAGAGAGGAAAGGAAAATTTTTATTTGAAACTAAAGAAAATGTTTCCTTAACAAATGTCTTTTGTGGGACATTTCATGTGGAAGAAACAAAGAAAATGCAAAACTCAAGCATTTCTCAGTTCTCCATAACACTTTGCCAGTTCCAAAATATTAAAAGAGATAGGCATGTCAGTCAAATTATACAAACTAAGAAGAAACTGTCCTCATGATACATCTGAATCAAAAGATAGAATGAACTACTTATTATGTTTCAAATGTCAAAAATGGCCCAACCACGTGTGATGGTGTAAGACTGTGATCTAAGCTCTCAGGAGACGGGGTTAGAAGATCTTTAGTTCCAGGCCAGCCTGGGCTACGTAGTGAGACCCTGCCTCAATAAACAAGATCTATAACCAGGTGTGGTGGTGCACACCTTCAATCCCAGGCACTAGGAGGCAGAGACAGGTGGATCTGTGTGAGTTCAAGGCCAGCCTGGTCTGCATAGTGAGTTCCAGGCCAGCTGGGGCTACAGGGAGACCCTGTCTCAAAAAGACCCCCCCAAAAAAATCTGTAATAATAGGGATAAATAAGATCACAATGCATTGTATACATGCATGAAATTGCCAAAAATCGATGGGAGGGAACTCATGTGTGGTACTGTAAACATAGCCAAATACACATGGCTGGAGATATCATAGATCCTAGAAAAAAACCTACATCTATCACATTCCTACACAAACATAATTTCTTACTGTATGCTAAATATGTATCCTTATATTTACAGAAAAGTATAACCCCCACCATTCATCAAAGAAGATTCTTTTTGCAGCAGATGGAGACTATTACAGAGTTCCACAACTAGTCGCACACAGAGAAAAAGTGTCTACAAGATGATCAGCCATAAGTGATATATCTGCAATGGAACCTCTACACCCCCAAGCTCATGGAACATAGTGGAACAAGGGATAGAGAGAATACTGTGTCTCTCAACTTTCACCAGTGAAACTTCCTCATGCAACAGATGGTGATTAACACAAAAATGTAGAGAATAAGATACTGCAAAGTGTTTGTCCCTGGCTAGGATCCCATATTAAACTTCTGCCACTCAGGACTCAGGGACCATGGTGGAAGAGGAGGTGGAAAGAGTGTAAGAGACAGGGGTGATAGATGACCACGAGGAAAGAGTTTTCCAGGCAGCTGGGAACTTGTTTGTATGAACTTACAGCAATTGGTTACAGCATGCATATGACCTACACAAACTCAAACCAAACAAAAACCCAGCACAGAAGTAGGGAAATGGGTAAGAATACCCAAACTTAGCTGAGAAACTATTGGCAATCGATCACTGCTGGGTGAGGGAGAGTTGGTCTTCTTTAAGGGAGTGATGCTAGATAGGCTTAGCAGGCTCAAGTGGATGAACTCACACTGGGGGACATCTGTATACACAAACTTGACTCTCAAACTAGGCTTTAACATATAAGACAGAATTCACGAAATCTTGTGGAGGGAATAGAGGAGTGCAGATAACGGAGGAGGTCGAAATATAATTCAGATTTATTGTATGAAATACACAAAAAAATAAAATACATATTGAGAAAAAAGTCAAAAATTTAAAAATTAAATGTGAAAAAAATCAAGATCTATCCATGTAGAGTAATTGCCTGGCATGCAAGAGGCCTGGATTTGATCTCAAGCACCAGAAAAATAAACGAATAATGTGTTAAGGTCTATTCTCCAGTTATTTGACTACAGTCAATGAGACACTATTCCAAGACCAATTTAGTGGTGTTCATTCCTGAGGCCAGTTCTCGTTTTGTCACAGTGCTCACTCCTGGTTTGCTACTAGTGCTCTTTAAATCAAATCATGAGGTCAAACAGAAATCAAAACAAGAAAGGAGCTATGTTTTCTGCTACCTCTGCCTCCCAGTTCTGGCTCTTCTCTGATGCATGTTAGCTCTGTATGGTAGTCTGATACCTTGGCCACTTCCATTCTCTTCTTGAAATGTAAAATCCGGTAAGTCACTGTCAGACAGAGGAAAAAAGTTAGTTTCTGCATAACCGCTTAATTAGGAAAGTGGGCTGAACTTTCTATGCTTTTTCACTCACAGTTGAGGCCTGCACATTCTCTTTCTTCTCTCTATGGTTCCTTTATTCCAATTCCAGGTAAACGGTTGAAAGCAATTGTAGAAAACTAACGCTTTATATCATATTATCAATTTTGTGTTTTGTATGAGAAGCCTTGAAGTATTTTAGGTATATGTGACTTTAAGTTTCTTATTCTATTGGAATTTGTGTAAGAGTAAAAATTTTGGTTACCACTAGGATAGTTCTACAAAGTTTAGTGAACCTCATTAGTTTATTAGTATTTTTTACTTTGATGTATAATCAAGCATTAAAAAGTAAAATGAAAAAAAAACCACAAATGCACAAGTTGGTAAACTGATGTAATATTAACACTCCAGATAAAAACTGCGCAATTCAAGAAACAGAATCTTGTTAATACCCCAGGTAGCAGTCATACCCAAAACACAACTCACTCTTTCTCCATTATAGGTAAACACTCCATGGCTTTTAAAGTGTTCTCCCTGTGCTTTGCTTCATAATTTTAGCCTGGAACTCTACAGACCAGAATTACTTACTTTAGAACTTTCTTTTAATGGACTGATATTGCATGTATCATTTGTACTGGGTTATGTTCAACATTACTTCTGAAACAATATTTTTCACATGGCTATAATTCTCCATTTTCATACTGCAATCTATTGTCTTCGTGCAGTGAAATGCACTTAACTGTTCTACTTCTAGTAGGTAGATATACTGTTTCCAGTGTTTGACTATTGTTAACTGTGATACTGTGAGCATTTTTGATCATGCATTTCTGTAGGGTGTAGACCTAGGAGTGGAACTGCTGGTAATAGTGTATACCTGCTATAAAAAGGGATAAATAGTTAAGTTTTCTAAAGTGATTTCACAGCTTTCCATTCTGATGAGGACCAATTCTACAACATCATCATGAGTGCTGCCATATCATTTAGTCATTACAGTGGCAAATCCTTGCGAGCTACATTTTCACTGTCATCGCCAAAGGATGACATTCTGTGTTTATTATATTTTCCTTTTCTCTTTTCTATAATGTCTGCTTAAGACTTTGCCTATTTTCTACTATATTGTTGACATTTTTCCAATTAGTTTGAAGAATTTATATACATTCCACACATGAATGCATTACAAATTATCTTACAGCTTTCTGTTTTCACTATAGTGGTCTATTGTTTGTATATGGTATGATATAAGAACCCGACTTCATTTGTTAAATATAATAATAAACTCTACAACATTAATTGAACAAAACTCTCCTTTCCCCGTGACTCTGTAATATCTCCTTTGTTTTATATGAAGAATTAGACAAAGGGAATCTATACTTAAACTATTCTCTCCTCCAGACTAGTTGCTTATATATATACCATACAGATTCAATTATAACAACTTTACATATTAGAAAGAACAAGCTTTCCCATTGTATTAACGATGGTGATAGTTTCACGAATGTATATTTATCCCTGACCTTGAGGTGTGTATGTTAAATACTTAGAGATTCTATATGTCAATCATACCTGACCTTGAGGTGTGTATGTTAAATACTTAGAGATTCTATATGTCAATCATACCTGACCTTGAGGTGTGTATGTTAAATACTTAGAGATTCTATATGTCAATCATACCTCAGCAAAGAGTATTTTGGAGTCAAGGCAGCATCACAAATAATGGAAAGTGAAGTGCGTAGCTCTGAACGCTACAGCCTAGATACTGAACATATACATTGACAGGTGGAGGGAAACCACGGCCTAGGGCAACATCATGAAAATTTGGGGGGAAAATGATAAAAGAAGAATTCCGCTTTGTTAATAACTCACCCAAACAACTTGCAATAAAACAAGCACCGAGAAGTAAAATGGAAACAGCAGCAAAGGCCCAGGGGATCAGCTTGGGGTGTCGGCTGCCTTATATCAGGTTAAAAGAAAAATAGATTATTCTCCTCCCTGCCACAAGATGAAGGAATAATAAATATGAGAGGCACCAAAGCATTTTCGGAGTATAGAAGACTTAAGTATTTCCACTGAATAAATCAATCTTAGAGTTTGCTAAGAAAAACATAAGCTTGTTTTGACAAGGTTTTATAAGGAAAGGTTTTTTGTTGTTATTGTTTTTTGTTTTGTTTGTTTTGGTCTTTTTGAGACAGGGTCTCCCTATAGCCCCAGCTGGCCTGGAACTCACTATGTAGATCAGGCTAGCCTTGAACTCACGGAGATTTGCCTGCCTCTGCCTCCTGAGTGCTGGCACTACAGGCATGCGCCACCATGCCCAGCAGGAAAGGCTTTTTATAATAAACAGGACACCAAAAAAAAAGTCATAAAAATTAAGACCTTAAGCAAATAAAAATTGAAACGTCTATATAACTCATAAAAAATAAGCAAAACAAAGAAGAAAATTCTTATCATACTATTACTATCACAGAATATATTTTTAAAAATCTAAAATCAACTTTAAAATTGAGAAAAATTCTAAAATCAACTTAAAAATTGAGCAACATTGGACTAGAGAGATGACTCAGTGTTTAAGAGCATTGGCTGCTCCTGCAGAGGACCTGGATTCGATTCCCAGCACCCACATCCAGGGGATCTGACACCATCATCTGACCTCTGCAGGTATTTCACCCACATGAAGCACTTATACACATGCAGGCACTATACTCACACACACAAAATAAAAATAATAAATAAAATATTTTAATTGAACAAAATTATGAGCAATAAATTTAATCTGCTGAAATTTAAGTGGCTGTCAAACAAATACAAGTGTGCTCAATCAGAGAACCATAAAATACTGTGACCTGATTTTTCGTATTGATTCTTTTTTGTTATTTTTATTTTATGTGTATGAGTGTATTGTCTACACGTGTGTTAGTGCACCCATGCTGTGCAGTGCTTGCAGAGGACAGAAGAGGGCGTCGGATCCCCTAGAACTAGAGTTACGGATATTTGTTAGCCACCACGTGGGTGCCAGGATTCAAACCCAGGTCTTCTGCAAGAACAGCCAATGCGCTTAACCACTGAGCCATCCTTCCAAACCTTCATATTGATTCTTAAAACTACAGTACAAACATGCAATGTCGGCAGAGCTGAAAGTAAGTACTCAAGAAGGGAAGTGACTGCTGGCGCTGAGGCTGAAATTAGTAAAACCTTTTAATTAATGGCATTTATTCTATTAATTAATTTATTCAATTAATGGCATTTATCCATTTCAAATTTTTATCACATTTATTTATTTACTTATTTGTATGTATTTGTGTGTGTGTGTGTGTGTGTGTGTGTGTGTATGTGTGTACTCATGCCATGGTATATGGAGGACAGAATACAACTTGTGGGAATCAGTTCTGCCCTTCCACCCCATGTGTGTTCTGGAAATACAACTTGGGCTTGGCATCAAGCACATTTATCCACTGAGTCATCTCGCTGGCACCTCATTTATCCATTTTTAAGAGCATTATATTTTCTATAACAACTTTAATTCTAAAGCTCAATGCCATAGAAATAACTGAATGCATTGGTGTAATATAATATTCATTGCGGTGCTTTTTTTCTGCTGGGCCTAGTATAATCAGGCCTGTAATCCCAGGTATTCAGGAAGCTAGGGCAGGAGAACTGCAAGTTCAAGGCCTACCTCAGCTTCAGAGTGAGTTCAAAACTAGCCTAGGAAACACACTAAGATCCTGTCTAGAAATAAAAAGGAAAGAAAGGGATAGGGATGCAGCTTGGTGGTAGAGCACTTCCCTGGCATTAAATAGACTGAGTTTCAATCCCCTATTCAAAAAAAGGGGGGGAAGAACAAAACAAAATGGGGACTGGAGAGATGGCTCAGCAGTTAAGAGCACTGACTGCTCTTGCAGAGGACCCGGGTTCGGTTCCCAGAACCCACATGGCAGCTAACAACCATCCGTAGCTCCAGTTCCAGGGGATCAGATGCCTTCTGACCTCTACAGTCATTGCATGGCACAGGTACACTTACATACATGCAGGCAACACTCATACGCATAAAATAAAAATAATAAATAGAATATTTTTTAAGAAAATGTTTTTCAGGACTACCATACAGCATGATCCTGTTGAAATTTACCATAACAGATTGAGGAGATGAAGCAAGAATTTAAGTTTAAACATGTATTTTAGCATTCATGCTGTATGTTTCTTTTTATTAATGAAATATCTTTTATATATTCTTTGATGATTTCATACTTGTAAACAATGTAACTTGATCGTATCCACCCCCGACTCACCCATCCTACCCTCCCACTCCCTCCAGGCACACTCCCAACACATCCCACTCCCCTTTTGTGTTCTCTTTTTCTTTGTTTTTGTACACAGCCCGCTGACTTGAATTTAATGCTACCTCCTAGAATATTGACTGATCCTGTTGGCTTGATCTTGTGTAAGACGTGCAACTTACAGTAATCATATCTGCAGTAAGTTCATGGATGCAATGGCCCTGTCATATCCAGAAGACACATGCTATATATTCCTCAGAAATATTTAACATTATCACAGTACAAATCCACTGGCATCCCTTAAGTCAAACATAAAACCAGATAGAGTCTCCGACATACCAAGAGCATAAAGTCTGACTTCTCTCTGTCTCTCTCTCTCTCTCCCTCCCTTTCCCTCTTCCTCTCTCCCTCCCTCCCTCACTCCCCTCTCTCTCCTTTGAATGAATTTTCCAAAGTATTTAATTCATATCTTTCTTACATACTTAATCTCTTCTCTTCATACAATTTGATTTTAGGAGGAAGTGTCTGTTATGCAATTTATTCGAATTTAACGATGTCCATTCTCTTTATCAAGATTGTCCTCATTTTCCTCCCATAAGTTATCACCTTAAATCTTTGCACTGCCATTAAAAACACAGTCATAAATCCATCTACTTCTTTGAAATTGGAAGGAACTGAGAGCATAGTAGCACATGCCTGTACCAGCAGCACTCAGAAGTTAGAGACAAGAAGATCCAATTTGAGGCCAATCCAGGTTGCATAGCAGGTTCAAGGAAACCTGGACTACATAATAAGACTTTGTCTTGAAGAAAAAGAGGAGGAGGAAGAGGGGGAGAAGGAGGAGGACAAGGAGGATGAGGAGGGGGAGGATATTGAAAGCAAAGCACTCACGTTTACTCTGAGAATCTTCCAGCCACATGATGTGATCAGTAGAATCGGGAACCTCGTCTGCTTTAATCTTAGAGTGTATATCACTGCTAGAGGTGTATATTCAGAAATACTTGTGACTGAACACCAATAAATCTGACCTATTCTGGTAAAATTTGGAAGAGTATAAGAGAGTTAATTTGAAAGAAGCAATCTTTTCAAAAATGGGGTTTCCTCCAATACACTTCAGCAGATGGGCAAAGAGAGATAGGAAATTGAGAAAGCAAGACCAGAAACAGTCAGTAGAAACTTCCATAATGTGTCAGAAAAGGTTTCTCAATGTGTTTTTATTAGTTCAGACAAAATATTTAGCAATGCCCAAAGTAAAGAAGTTTAAATAACTCAAGTTTTTCGTTTTAGAATAGGTGTATAAAAGCATTGACTTGCTTTTTGAATCAATTCCCGGTTAATAATGATGTTGACTGTCTTTTCATATGTTTACTAACCATCTGTACATAGCCTTTGATAGTATATCTTGTTCATATCTTTTGTCCATTTATGAAATTGGCTGTTTGATTACTTTCCTTTGTATAGTGTGAATTCAGGCCAATTATTATTAAACGTGCTTTACAAATGCATCTCTCTCAGTCTCTCGTTTTTCCTTTTATTTGCCATCACTGTGTTTTTCAGAGCAGATGCTTTTAACTGTATTAAAATCCAACCTATTAATTTTTCCTTTTGTTCATTGTGTTTCTGGTATTGTACCTAAAACTTAACCAAACTGATGCCTACCTCAATTGTTATACTGTACTTCAGTTTAGAAGTTAAAAAAAATTTTTTTTGTCTCTTTGAGATAGGGTCTCCCTGTAGCCCCAGCTGTCCTGGAACTCATTATGTAGACCAGGCTGGCCTCGAACTCACAGAGATCTGCCTGCCTCTGCCTCCCGAGTGCTGGGATTAAAGTCGTGCGCCACCACGCCCGGCAGAAGTTAAAATTTTTTGTTTTGCATTTAGGTCTGTGATCAATGTAGACTTTTTGTGAAATGTGTAGAGATAATATTAGATCTTTCTTTTAAAACATACATACAAATATTTCAAACCATTTTAGATGCTTCTGTATTAAATTATTATTTGTCTTTTCTGAAGTTGACTAGAGTTGTGCAGTGAGTTTTACTGCTTTGTTTCTCTACTTTTATCAAAATTTTATGTCTTGATCACTACCCTTGGATAGAAAGCTTAGAATTCATCCTGAATGAGACTTTCAAGCATATGTTTCCTTCAGCATTATACCGGTATTACTTTCCGTATGTATCAGTCTGTATATCTGAAAAGTAAGTTCTGAGAATCTATAAAGTTGAAATGAATGTATACCTTAAAATTAATACTTCTTCTGATATGGGACATGGAAAAGCTTGACGTCTGTTTATAGCTTTAAAGTTTTATTTTATTTCAGTGGAGTTTTTCCATACAGATTATGTACATATCCTATTATATCTATATCTTTTTCAATTTTACACTATAATAAATGGTATTGAATGTATTTATATCTCGAATTGTCATAGCTGTGGATGATATATAGAAAACAAGAGACTTGTGAAATATATGCTTTATTTGCTTTAAAAAATCAACATCTCATACAAATTTAGTAAATAACCTATCATATTTCTCTTTTTTTTGAATATTACATTTTCAAAGGTAGTTATATTCTTAAGGTAAAATATATCTTAGAAAGTTCTTTGAGCTCAATGAGATGTGTCCAAGATGGCAAAAGATGATGTAAACAATGAGTAAACACTTTTTAATATATACTTTGTATATACAGTGCATGGGGAGAAATAAAAACCTTTGTTTTAGAACTGAGGACGAGGTAGTGAAGCTATTTGTTAAATTCCCAAAGCTTCTCAGGTAAGAGAAAACAAGCTTGTTAAGGCAAGGAAGAAAGATTCTGTGATAAAGACACCATCAAAGTCCCTAGCTTCACCTACAGTGTTATTCAGGAATGAATATTTGTGTTTCTCTAAAATTTCTCTGTTGAAACCACAAGCACTTATATTAGTATTTAGAGGTGGGCCTTCAGAGGGTAAGTAGATGAAATCATTAAGATGGGTCCTTCTAATGGAATTGGCACCATTAGAACTCTATATCTCCCCTCTTTCCTCTCCACTTATTCCCCCATCTTACCCCCTCTTTCTGGTATGTGGAAATATAGCAAGAAATCAGCCAGCTCTAGATTAGCAGAACCCTGCCCTTCAGGTCACTCCAGGACTCCATTTCTGACCTAGAACCACAGGTAGGAACCCCCAGATCTAGTCCACCAGTCATCTCGTTTAGCAGGCACCCCACCCTCTACGCCAAACTCTTGAAGTCCAACCCAAACCCTGAGGTCACTTCTGATACCCCATTCACACATCCACACAGACTACGGCCAAGTTGAACACCAAACACCACTCAACTGGTCCACAACCTGAGAAGTTGGAGTAACAGCAAAGACCCAAACACCCATTCAACAAAGGTGAGAACAGATATCCACACCAAGAAATACCACCAATGATGTAACTTCAGATAGCTAAGTGCTATTACAAAAACACAAGACAATCTTCCTCCTCGCAAAATTAACAGCCTGTCATAATGTTACCTGAGGAATGGCATCCTATCTGATGCATGAGACAATGGTTTCAAAATTATAGCAATTATAAATATGTTCAATGAACTCAGAAGATATGAACAAAAGACTGAATGAAGGCTGCAAAAAATTGAATGAAATAAGTAAAACAATTCAAGCTATGAAATTGGAATTTAATTTAAAAAAAGAATCTCTGAAGAAAAATTAAAGTGAAAGAAAACTCAAAATGAAAAATTCAAGAAGTCAAACAAAAAGCTAGAAGAAAATCTCACCATTGGATTAGATCAAGTGGAAGAGAGACTATCAGGTCTTAAAGACAAGGCAGAGGAAATGGATCCTTCTGTCAAAAAATGTTAGCTCTAAAATAACCCAGAAACTGCACATGAAACTCTGGGATAGAAACTCTGGGATAGAAACTCTGGGACACTATAAAAAGACTAAACTGTCTAATCATGCATATGGGAAAAACCAAGGTCAACAGCACAGAAAATATTTTCAACAAAGTATAGAAGAAGCCGGGCATGGTGGCGCATGCATTTAATCCCAGCACTTGGGAGGCAGAGGCAGGTGGAGCTCTGTGAGTTCAAGGCCAACCTGGTCTACATAGTGTCTTCCAGGACAGCTAGAGCTACAAGGAGACCCTTCTCAAAAAGACCAAAAAAAAAAGTACAGAAGAAAACTTATGAAATCTAAAGAAAGGGATACCTATCAAGGCACAAGAGATATACAGAACACCAAACAGAACCAGAAAAGAAAGTCTCCTTGTCACATAATAGTCAAAACATTAAATTAAAGACATTGGAAGATACAAGAGAGAGATCAAGTCATATTTAAAGGCAGGTCCATAAAAACAACAGCCAAGTTTTTCAGTTAAGACTATGAAAGGCAGAAGGGCTTAGCACAATGTCCTACAAGTTATGAAAGAACAAAGATGCCAGTCCAGACTACTATAGCCAGCAAAATTATCAGTCATAATTGAAGGAGAAAGATAAATGTTCCATGGTAATAAAACAGGTTTAAGGAATTTATGTCCACTAACCCAACTCCACAGAGGATACTAGAAGGAATAATTCAGTCTAAAGAGAAGATTAAACACACCCAAAAAGTCATAAGGAATAAACAACTCCAGAACAGCTAATGAAAAGCAGTCTAAGAAGACAATACACCACCAACATAACAGCAATAAACATTGATCAGTAATAACTCTCAATATTTTTTGATATTTTAACTGAATTTTTTTGATTTTCATACAATATAGTTTGATGATATTTAGATCAACTTTCCCATCACTACCTCACCTTATTGCTCCCCACCCAATTTAATATACTCTATTATAAACATAAAAAGGCCTATGGAGTCTAATTTTTGTCCCCAAATGTCCTTCAGTATGGGCATCCACTGGAGCCTGGTTAACCTACCAAGAGTCCAGTGCTTGAAAGAGACTGGCTCTGTCCCTTCCAGCAGCCCTCTGTTGCCACAATTTCCTTGGGTGGGGTTGGAGCTTCTTACTCACTTCCCCATGTCTATGCCTGTTTTTTTCTGGTTGGAGTTTGCATGGGACTTGTGCATGCTGTCACCGTTGCTGTGGGTTCATATGACTGTCTGGAAAACTTTCCTGTGGTCATACACCACCTCTGGCTCTTACTATCTTTCTGCCCCTTCTTCTGCAGTGATCCCTGAGCCATGGGAGCATAAATTTGATATAGGTGTCCTATTCAGGGATAAGCACTGTGTAGCCTCTTGTGGGTTCCTGTGATAATCACCATCTATTGTATAAGGAAACTTTTCTGATGAGACTTAAGAGATGCATTAATCTATGGGTATAGCAATAAATCATTAAGAGTCAGTTTAGTGTGATAACTATCTAACAGAAAAATTAGTATTAGGCTCTTCCCTATGACCTGTCTAGCCTCAGATTCCTAAGCCAGATATCAATGTCAGCTGTGGGTCCCATCCTAGGAAGTGAACCTTAAACCCAATTAAAGAGTGGTTGGTTGCTCCCATAATATTTGTGGCACAATTTAGCCAGTGGGCATATCTTGCCAGGCCATTGTTATTGTTGTTCACAGAGCTCGCAGCAAGGTAAGGTTGATGATTATATTTTACCTTCAGTAGCTTGCATAGCACCTTCCAGCACTATGAACTCTAGCTAGTAGAGATGAGCCCCCAAAGCCAGCACCAGCTTGATTTCTCCTTGTTTGCTCTATAGCTCATGTATGTAGCATATTCAGCAATAGGGTCTTACCATCAAGTTCTGATGGGTAACCGAGAGCAGGGCAGGGGCAATGGTCAGTATTGTTTGAGGGTCTGTGGGACCCGTGGTCAACAGTTTCTAGAGGGGCACTCCATTCCTGATATTGAGCACTCTTTTATTAGTCTATATCTACAAAGTGCAATGTCCCCTTGTTACAAGATAACTTCTTTTAGTC